GGGGTCCGGAGAGGGGACCCAGACGTCCGGGCGTTCCAGGTCCGTTATCCCGACCGCATCACGTTGATCCGGGGAAACCACGAGAGCCGGCAGATCACCCAGGTCTACGGTTTTTACGACGAGTGCCTACGGAAATACGGCTCCGTCACCGTTTGGCGCTACTGCACCGAGATCTTCGACTCCCTCAGCCTCTCCGCCATCATCGACGGCAAGGTGGGCGCGCGCGACGGGAGCTTCGTGTTCTTTGCGGCCTCGTTACCGCTGCGGAACGCTCTGCGAGCGCGCTGGGATACCTTAGGACACGCTAAGCACATGCTAGGACGCACTAAGGACGCGCAGAGGGCATGCGAGCGGGTAGGAAGGTCTGTTTTGGGGGGGGTGCACCGGCAGTTTTGCTGTTTTCAGCGTCGTCGGCGCCACGGACGGCACGATGAGCACAGCAGGACACGCGCTAGAACACGCTAAGCACATGCTAGAACACGCTAAGCACGTGCTAGAACATATTAAGCACTTACAGGGTGTGGGGCAGACCCCGGGGCTGCTTTTGGGGGGGGGGGCTGCTTGGCGACCTTGTCCTCCCCGTGGTCCCTCTACCCTCACGGTGACAGGGTGCAGGTTTCGCACACGCTAAGCACACGCGTGTCCCCCCCAGATCTTTTGCGTGCACGGGGGCCTCTCGCCTTCCATCCAGACGCTGGACCAGATCCGCACCATCGACCGCAAGCAGGAGGTGCCCCACGACGGTCCCATGTGCGACCTCCTCTGGTCCGACCCCGAGGGTAGGTCCCGTACACGCGTGTCGGTGCGTGTCCCGCCTTGCAGCCCCCCCCGGTGCGCGCCCCGTGGCCTCCCCCGCTGCCTTTGGAGTGTCCCGCGTCACCTGGGGTGACACGCGTCGGCGTTGCGCGTTGTCACGTAGAGGGGCCAGGCTGGCGTGTGGGGGTGACGTGCGTGACCCCACGGGCACGCCAGGCTGGTGTGTGTGACACACGTGTGACCCACATGGCCACACCGGGCTGCCCCGGATGACACGTGTAAATGCACGTGACACACGCGTGTGTCATGTCCCCACGCATACACCCCAACGTGGCCTGTGTGGGTCTGGGTGACACAGGTGACCCTGTTGGGATGCTCTGTGTGACACACGTGGACATCTCACGCGTGTGGGTCACATGTACGCTGCGGCGGATCCGTGTGGCTCCGCGTGACGCACGCGTGAGACCCTGACACGCGTGAACACACGTAGCGTGCGCGTGGGTCGCTTCTCCCCGCACGCTGCCCCCAACGTGGCAACACGCGTGACCCCCGCGCTGCCGCCCAGCCCCACCGGAGCCCCCCCAAACCCCCCCTTTTCCATCCGTGACACGCGTGCGGTGCGTCGGCAGACACGACGGGCTGGGGCGTGTCCCCGCGGGGGGCCGGCTACCTGTTCGGCAGCGACGTGGTGGCCCAGTTCAACGCTTCCAACGACATCGACATGATCTGCCGCGCCCACCAGCTCGTCATGGAAGGCTACAAGTGGCACTTCAACGAGACCGTCCTCACCGTCTGGTCCGCCCCCAACTACTGCTACAGGTCAGCCGCGCGCCAAGCACACGCTAAGCGCACGCTAAGGGGCTTGGGGGGGAGGGCGAGGAGGTGGGAAGGTCGAAACGTGACGGGACGGGTGTTGGTGGTACCGGAATGGGAACGTTCTCCTTGTTTGGTGGGTTTGGGATTGATGGAGGGGGGTGTTAACATGTTAAGGACATGTTAAGAACACGCTAAGGCGGGGAGAACGAGCGGTGAAGAAACGCGGGGTGGGGGGGGACACCAGTGGGCGGCAAGCGAGAGTTGAATGGGACCGTCCCCATCATGGGTTTAGCCAGCAGCTGTTGCGACAGGTGAGTCTCAACATGCTAAGTACATGTTAAGATGCGCTGGGACACGTGGTGGGGGAAATGGGGTTTGGGGGACACGGGTGGACCCCAAGTGACACTTGAATGGGACCGTTCTTGTCACGGGGTCGGCCACTAACTACTGCTCTAGGTGAGTTGACACGCTAAGCGCACACCGACAACACGTTAAGGACACGCTAGGACACGTGACAAGGGAACACAGGACGCAGGGGGGAACGTGGGGGAGGGCTCCCAGTGACGCTTGAAGGGAACCGTGTGCCCCCCCTGGGGTTGGCTTCCGGGTCGGCCCCCAGGGCGTGTCGCCACGCACACGCTAAGCACACGCTTAACGCCCCGCAGGTGCGGGAACGTGGCGGCCATCTTGGAGCTGGACGAGCACCTGCAGAAGGAGTTCATCATCTTCGAGGCGGCGCCGCAGGAGACGCGGGGGATCCCCTCCAAGAAGCCGGTGGCCGACTACTTCCTGTGACGTGTGTCCCCCCCCGGCCCTGCCCACGTCCCCAACAGGTCACCCGTGTCCCCTGGGGCCACCTAGAGCCACCCTAGGGCCACCGTGTCCCCAGGAGATGTGGGGTGGCCACCGCTGGTGGCATCTAGGGAGGCTTGAGGACGTCGTCGTGGTCCTTGTCCATTTTGGGGCCACCACGATGTCCCCTGGGGTCACCTAGAGCTGCCCCCCAAAGTGGCCTTGTCCTCTCCTGTCCCCCCCCGCGTCACCCCTCCCTTGGGGA